GCATAATGTGAAATGCCATATTTCAACGCTACCACATTAGTTTTGTCTGGCAACCAACCCCTAAGTTAATGCTTTTTATTTTAGTTTCTTCATTTCAGCAGCACCCCACTCCTGTTACCAATATCTATATTTCTCTCAAGATAGATTAGTCTTATGCTGCATTAACAAATGACTCATGACTTCAGAATCTCAGTGGTTTAGTTTGTGGTCACTACAAAGTCCTGGTCAGAGAGTGGCTGATGCCTGTAATCCCAGCACTTTGAGAAGCCAAGGTGGGAAGACAGCTTGAGGCCAAGAGTTTGAGATCAGCCTGAGCAACCACAGCTAGACACCATCTCTACCACAAAAAAAAAAAAAAGAAAGTTTTTTTAAGTCCTGCAGATGTGAGGATCTTTCTGGCAACTGTTTCCAATGAAACAATTCAGTGATCCAGGCTGATGGAGGATTTCCCAGCCTTTAGCTGCATTATCTGAAACATGAAGCTTGGTGACAGTGCACCAGATCTTGTAAGTGCACTTCCAGAAATGACTTCATCTCTTAACCCACAGTACATTGGTCAGAACTAATTCATAAAGGCTTCCTTATTTAAGGAAGTTAAGAAATACAGTCTTCTGTGTGCTATTAGTTTGCGGAGAATCGACATTGGTGAACACTGATAATGTTTACTTTGTCATACAAATTAAGTACAGAAACAGTAGTTGGAATCAAATTATTTTTAGGCTAGAGATACAGCAGTCATTGAACATACTAGGTTTACCTTTCTCCAATCTGACCTAAATAGCCAATACCTGCATGAAGCCTAATATGGCCCATTGTTTAATAGCTAAAGTATTATTTTATATCCTCCTCATACTTCATTATGCCAGGTTCTCTATGTTCTAGTAGTTAGAGAAGGTAAATAACCATATTAAGAATTAAAGAGTTGCAATTTGTAATAACTTGTAGCTTTAAATATTTTTATCCTCCATCATATTGTTTATTGGAGTAATAATTATATATATATATGTATATAACATAAAATTTACCATTTTAGTCATATTTAGGTGTATAATTCAATAGCCCAGTACATTCACATTGCTGTCCAGACCTCACCATTCATCTCCAGAACACTTTCATCACCCCAAACAGAAACTGTACCCATTAAACAGTAACTCCCCATCCCTCCTACTCCCCGCAACTCCTAGCAACCTCTGTTCTAGGTTTCTGCAAATCTGTTCATTATAGGCTCTTCAGATAAGTGGGATTATACAATATATGTGCTTCTGTGTCTGGTTTATTTCACCTTGCATAATGTTTTCAAGGTCCATTCAGACTGTAGCAGGTATTAGAATTTCATTCCCTTTTTAGGCTGAATAATATTCTATTATATGTACATACCACAGCTGTAAATTTTTATTAAGTTGCAAGATGGGTGTGATACAGCACCTAGTAACACCATAAAAGTTCAAATCTCAAGAAGAAGGAATAGTTCTCTGATTCATTTCCACACCTTACCTTGCTTTTTTGTTTTCCCCCATTTTACTTTAAGGATAATTTGTTTCCATAATAATGCAAGGTACTAACTTAAACATATCCTCCCCTAGAATTTTCTACTTTAAACACTCTACAAACAGAGGAAGTTAATAAAAAATTCAGTTTACAAAGTCCCCTGTGGTTAGTCATTAACAGCAGATCGCCAAGTAAGACTGTCAAGATGGTGGCTATGGCACTTGATGATCAAGGTGAAGAAAGATCAAACTGCTGTGGTTTATGTACATGACAGCTACTTAAACAAATCTTAACACAGAGGCCAAATGCAATGGCTCACACCTGTAATTCTAGCACATTGAGAGGCTGGGGCAGGAGAATGGCTTGAGCCCAGGAGTTTGACACTAGCCAAGGCACCATAGTAAGACTTTGTCTCTACATTAAAAAAAAAAAAAAAAATTAAGCGGAGTATGGTAGCACACACCTGTAGTCCTAGTTACTTGGGAGGCTCAGACAGGAGGATGATGTGAACCCAGGAGTTTGAGACTGTGATGAGCCTTGAGCCTGCCACGGCACTCCAGTCGGCTACGGAGTGAGACCCCGACTCAAAAAAAAAGTTGGGGTCTCACTCCATCGCCCAGGTTGGAGTGCTGCTGCACACTCATGGACATACTCTAGCGTCGACTTACTGGGCTCAGGTGATCCTTCCACCTCAGCCTTCCAAGTAGCTGGAACTACAGGTGTGCATTACCACGCCCAGCTAATTTTTTGATTTATTGTAGAGACAAAGTCTCACCAAGTTGCCCAGGCTGGTCTTGAGCCCGTGGGCTCAGGCAATTCTCTCACCTCGGCCTCCCAAAGGGTTGGGATTATAGGCTTGAGCCACTGCGCCCAGTCTCAAATTTTTTTTTTTAAACAGAGAAACATGTATTCTGAGAAAATTTGGTGTCAAAATACATATGTTTGCCTGATACGTCTATCAGTTAGAATGCTACAGGGAAGTCTTGGAATAGAGTGGTTAGGGAAAGGGAAATGGAATTGTAAAATTCATTTGCTGGTTTGGCAAACAGTGATTGCCACTCTTTGAATTAGAGCTGAGAATATCTCATTAAACTGGCACAAGGAGCCGGGGATGGTGGCTCATGCCTGTAATCCCAGCACTTTGGGAAGTGAGAGGATTACTGAGCCCACAGGTTCAACACCAGCCTGGGCAATTTGGTGAGACCTCGTTTCTACAATAAACTAAAAAAATCAGCTGGGCGTGGTGGCATGTACCTGTGGCTCCAGCTACTTGCAAGGCTGAGGAGGAAGGACTTCCTGAGCCCAGTAGGTCGAGGCTGCAGTGGCCGTGAGCATGTCACTGCACTCCAGCCTGAGTGATGTGACTCAAAAAAATACAATAAAATAAAATAATAAAATATATAAAAATAAAATATATTGAAACAAGGAACACAACGTGAGGTATCTAATACTCCTCTCCATTTGGCAATGAATTTCCAAAATGATTGGCCTACATTAGGGTCATTGTTCAAAATATTAAGTTATTTGACAGAAGTAAACATCTCTGTGTGTGAAGTAGTATCCTGGGCATTTGGAGGGCAAAGATGGAAAAAAAAAAATCCTTACCTGAAAATTGCCTCAACTTTACTAGGGAAACACACAAAAACAGTATGAATATAGGGAGAAGGAAACATGACAGTTTCAGTAGGATAATCAAGTTTCCCTGCAAAGAGAATATTTCTCTTATTAGAATATTTTTCAGACAAAAATACTTAAAGATCAGGCCTCATGCAAAAAACTTGGAAAATACAGAAAATCACAGAGCAAAATTAGAGATTACTACTGATGATGTGTTATATGTCCTTCTAGCTTTGCTCCATAAAGTGATAAATATATATTTTTGATTTTGGGGTCCTCACTCTGTCGCCCAGGCTGGAGTGCAGTGACAAAAATCCCAGCTCACTGCAGTATTGTTTTGGGCTCAGGTGATTCTCCTGCCTCAACCTCCTGAGTGGCTGGGACTACAGGCATGCACCGCCATGCCTAGCTAATTTATTTTTTATTTTTTTGTAGAGAGGAGCTGGTCTAGAACTGCAGGACTCAAGCAATCCTCCCGCTAGGCTTCTCAGAGTACTAGGACTACAGGTATGGCCACTGCGCCCAGCCACTATAAAGTGATTTTTAAAATTATATTTCTAGCACGAATTTGTGGTAGGTGGACATTAGGAAACAAGGTTAAATAGTTTCCTTTTGCCTCCATTAGTATCCTCATGAACTCACATCATGGTGTAGCCAGATGAACATGGTGAAGGTTTCTAAGATAAAATTTTATTTTGGGGCCACTCGGATTTGAGGGACGGCAGATCTTTAGCCAGTGACGACTTTATTGTAATACAATCCAGGAGTATCTCGGTTTCTTGCGTAATAAAGGAGGACTGGATTTCATGCAAAGGGCATCTATATTCTCACATCGATCTTTATCTCCTTTATCATTTTGTTTCTACTGTAAGTTTCTAGTTTCCTTACCCAACACTTCCCAATGAAACAATGTGGATACTTAGTGCACTGTGAGTCACGCAAAAGTTTCATTTAACGTGGAAAGGCAAGATTTCGTGAAGCAATAAATACTGTATCTTTGGATCACTGTTTTCCTTGCAACTTGTAGCTCCCAGCCTGGAAATTGGTACTTTTGACACTTGAACGTTGTGCGCATTGAAACGCCGTGGAATCCAAATATTCTTCCCCAGAAATGGCATGGCACAGGCCCGTCCGGGAAGCCATCTTGCAGTTGAAGGAAAGGGCAGACCGACGGAAAGTAGACCTCCCGCCGCTTACTCCTAAGGGTCACGGGTAAATAAAATACCGGGACGAGTCGGGCAAGGTAGCGCTGAGCAAGCGTCCCCGGGAGGGGGCGCGATGTCCCGAGGTTAACAAAGAGAACGACAGCTGCGGGTCAACTGGGGTCTTCGCTTTCGCCACCGATCGAGACTGGCCATCTTCACCAAGACCCTAATTTGCCCGGATCGGAACCCTCGGCAGCCTCAGGGAGATCGAAGCCTGGAGTATTCTGAGAAGGTTCAGGCCAGATGCTGAGATACCTGAAAAGCCGCTCCTGGCGCGCCGAGCAACCGGCCAGAGTTGGTTCGGCTTGACCCTGGGGACCCTCCGTAGTCGGAAAGTGGCGTCGCGAACTCGGTCCCTTTTCCGAAGCGGGAGTCTTGTAGGGAAGAAAAGACTTCTTGAAGGAGGATTGCGTTGCTAAAAAGAATAATAACAATACTAGGGGCTCCTTTTGTGTAGAACACTTAAGCTCTTGGCTTTCTGCCCACGCTAAAGATAAAACGGGTCGGGCATGTCGCCGGCTACATTAAGTAATGTACAGGAATGTTCAGACCGTTGCCTAGTGTTGGCCACAGAGTCATGGTGGGTTTTGCCCATAACAAAAATGGCGTGGAAGCATGTCAACCCGGTACGGTCACGTGCTCACAAACCAGGATGAGAGACGAAATGGCTTCAGATGACAAACGGATGTTATTATTATTCACTTCCGGGTGAGGCCAATCGGGCGCCATCTTGTCTTGTTCGTCAAGAAGTAGAAGCATCGAAAGGGTTGGAGAAGGTATTACAGGAACGGTGGCAGCAAGGGTGTTCCGGAACCAGAGTGGGTAAGTACTGGAGAGCAATTACACGTGGGCACTTGCCGGATCATAACAGTCCTCTTGGTTTCTGTGGCGAAGGTAGCATAACTTAAACAGGCTGCGTACGCCGCTCGGCGCGACCGCTGGGACCTCATTCCCTTGGAGCCGCGGCGTGCGCCAGGCTTGGGGAATCAGAGCGGTGCTTTCGCCGAAAAGGAAATGCCTGTATTGAGGAGAGTGCTCGCGACTCCTTCTAAGAGTTTCCTCTCGGAGGAGAAGGGACTAATTGTTGGGCTCCTGACTGGCCGTTAAGCACTGCGCGTGCGCAGTGGGATCCTCCTTGTGAGGAGGGGGTGCAGGGGGTCGGAGAAGGCGGGGGCCCCCACCCAGAGTTTATGCCCTTTGCGCCTTCGACTACGCAGGCGCGGTTTCTTAGTTTGTATTTTTCGTGTGTTCTTATCCAGGGATGGATGTTGCGTGTTAAGCTGCATCAGGGAAACAGGTAGCATCCAGTTTTTCAGTTGTTTTATTCTGTGGTGGTTAGTATGGTCACGTGAACCAGTTGGGCCCTAGGCACATTTTGATTGTGGGTTGTTACATTGTTAAATTAACATTCTATTGAAGATCTCAATTCCTCATTATTATTTTTCCCTACCCCTGCCCCAAGGAAAACAAAATAAACTTGGAGTTTCTCATTTGAGTGCAACAGGGCAAAAACAACAAAAACAGACTAGAACACTAAAGCTTTTACTTGTGGAATCGTTTTGTAAAGTGTCAAAGGGTAGTAGGGAAATAAAACAATTCTTTTAAGATGTTCTTGAGAGTCTCTATATTTTTAAAACTTACTAATGAACTTTATTTTTAAAAACAGTTTTTGCATAAAAATGAGCAGACAGTATGGTTCCCATATACCCCCCTCACCGCACAGTTTCTCTTCTAATTAGCATACATTTGTAAAGTATATTTGTTACAACTAATGAACTAATGTTGATATATTATTATTAATTAAAGTCTATAGTTTATTCTTACTTCCTTAGTTTTTACCTAAAGTTCTTTTTCTGTTCCAGCGTCCCATTTGGATACCTCATTGCTTTTAGTGATGTGTTCATAGGTCCTCTTGGCTGTGACAGTTTCCCAGGCTTTCCTTGTTTTCTTTTCTTTTTTAAAAAATATATATCTTTTTTATATCTTAAAATTATGGGGGTACAATTAAGGGTTAGGTATACAAATAATCATTGTGCAGGTACCCTTGATGAGGTGTGCCCCCCCTTCCCCAGGCAGATATCGACTACCGTTATTTCCTTGTTTTTGATGATTGTTTTGGACTGAATTGTGTCCCTCCAAAATTCTTATGTCCTAACAGTCAGTACCTCAGACTATGAGTGTATTTGGAGATAGTATCTTGAAAGAGGTAAAATGAGGTCACAAGAGTGGACCCTAACTCAGTATGACTGGTGTCCTTTTAAGAAGAGATTAGGATACAAAGGCGTGACCATGTGGAGACAGGGTGATGAGAGCCAAAGAGAGGCTTCAGAATGAAACTGACCCCACTGACACTTGGATCTTGGACTTCAACATTACAGGACTGTGAGGAAAAAAATTTCTGTGGTTTAAACCACACAATCTGTGGTACTTTGTTATGGCAGCCCTAACAGACTGATACAGTAACCTTGACATTTTTGAGTATTGGTCAGGTATGTTGTAGGATGCTCTGCTATTGGAATTTGCCAGCTGTTTCTCTCAAGATGAAATGCTGTTAATGGATTTTGGAAGGGAAGATCACAAAGGTAAAGTGCCTTTTTAAACATCACATGCTGTCAGGGGTACCTATTATCAAGGTGACTCATCACAGTGGTAATGACCTTGATAACCTGCCTGAAGTAGTGTCTTTCAGGTTTCTCCACTGTAGAGTTACCCTTCCACCCTCTTCCTTATTGCACTCTTTCTTTAGAAGAAAATCACTTTGCAGAGCCCATACTCTGTTAGGGTATTGACCTAATTTATTTGGAGTTTTTCTCCATGGGAGATTTGTCCCTTCCCTCCCATTTGTTAATTTATTTTATCATGTATGTCATTATGGACCCATGGATATTTATTTCATAATTTGTGTTATAATTCAGCTTTGGCCATTAGCAGCTCTTTCATTTGTCTACTGTTCCACTTTGACATCCCCTATCAGTTTTTGTTTTGGTTTCTTTAGTACTTTCTTACTTCCTGGCACTTTAAGATGCTCCAGGTTCATCTTTTATGTTTCTCACCCCAATCCCAGAATCAGATATTTCTCTAAGGATCCCTTATTCCTTTTATTGAAGAATGATATTAGAACTAACATCTAGGTGCTTAGGTGTGCTTTACTAGGGTGTCATTTTAGGTTTTTTCTCCACATTTATTTTTAAATTATTGTTATTTTGAGGGGTATTTATAACCAAACTATCCAATTCTCCAATTTTTTTTTAAATATTAAGCTACAAGCTGCATATATTTTAGTGTATGCCAAAATGCATATCACATCAAATAGCAATTATTTTTTTTTTTACCATTTTCCTAATGACTGCAAGATTGATCTCTAGGTGGAAAGTGCCATTTCCACCTAACCTGAATTAAACAAATGACTTACTTTTGACTTTGAGGTCAGTCAATTGGTAGGTAAGACTAAAAGGCTAGGAGTAAAGAGGATTGATGTATTCTGTGACTCTCGGCTTTGTGTTTGATATGAGAAACATTTCACCATATGGGTTAGAGGACAGAGGTGTTTCTGTATCTCTTTGATTTTGTAATTAATGCTTAAGGACTTTAAAATACCACATTTTAATTCATCAATCTTTGACACAGTCTGTGAATGACTTTTGCAAATATTTATGATAGTCATTTAAGCAAGTTGTTTTAGAAGACTTAAAACAATCTGGTTCTAATATAGAGTCATGTAAGTAAAGGGTGAGATACGTTGTGGTCATTTTCTGGAGATACCATAACAAATTACCACAACCTGGCCGGTTTCAAGCAACAGAAATTCATTCTTTCACATCTCTGAAGGCTAAAATTCTGAAATCCAGGTTTTGGCGGGGCCATACTTTCTGGTGGCTGTAGAGGAGTCGTCTTCCTTGTCTTTTCCTAGCTTTTAGTGGTTTCTTTCAATCCTTGGTGTTCCTTGTCTTGTAGACCCATCTATTCCAATCTCTGCCACTGTAGCTCTACATGGGGTTCTCCCTGCGTAAGTCTGTGTTTCTTCTCTTCTTATTAGGACAACAGTCATTTTATTTGGTCCCACCCTGGTCAAGTATGACCTTATCCTAATTAGACTATATCTGCAAAGACCCTATTTCCAAATAAGGACACATTCACAGATATCAAGAATAGGACTTCAGCAAATCTTTTGGAAGGTGGAACACAAGTTATTCCATAACACTGGTGATAGCCATAGCTTGATTTTTTTTCCCCCAGCAATGTGTGATAGTTTGGATGATCTGATACAAACACTGGTTGTCGATCTTTCTGTTCTTCTCAAACCCCAGTTGTTTTACAAGGAAATAGCAGTTAACTTGTATAGCAGTTGTTTTATAAGGAAATAGCAGTTAACTCCTATGAAGGGAGATGCTCTTAGGAAAGTCTTGCAGCCTTGCTCATCACTAATCAGATTTCTCCACACTTGAAAACTTGAGCCTCACAAGCATTAAAATTAAGGCTAAAGGAAGAATGAATGTATTAGAATCAATTTTTGATGTAATAAAATCACAGTAGCATTATTAGAATGTCGTTTTCATGGTTGAATACTAATGTATTTACTTTATAACATATTTCAGTGAATGAGTAAAATATTTACTTAATGTAGACAAAGCACTACTGAGAATTCAAATTATTCTGAGATATTTCTGTTTCCTAAAGAAGATTTGAGCCAGGACAAAAACATGAAAATTTAGTACAGACCCTTGCAAGTACATACGTCATCTTTAACTTATGGAAACTTTCAAGCAATACAAAAGTGAAGAACAGTGAATGCCCATCTTTAACGGTTACCAGCATTTTCCAAATCTTGAAACCAACATGTAAATGTTATTTTTAATGGTACGAGATTATGTTATTTCTTTAAATCATAGTAAAATTTTAAAATACACATTTTTTGATTACTGTGTGGTATACCTTTGTGTTCTTTCTGTTTTCCAGATTTTGCATTTGTTAGTGGTAAAGATGAAAGAAGAAAGAGTAGGTCTTCTAAATCTTTGCCATCAAATCACTTATAATCTTGCTCTTTAAAAAATAGTTTTTGAAACGGTTTATAAAGCATGGTTTTAGTGCTAGGTGCTAGATGCTGAAGCATGTATAAAAGTTTAAGTATTTCAATAATCTCACTCTGTACCAGGTCTTCCCTTTTTCTACAAAATTTAGCATAACTCTAAATTTAGTTTTTATGACCAGCAGTACCTTTTTTGGAGGTTATAAAAATTTACTCCAAATCCTATGTAGAAAATGAGACAGAGGTCAAGTGATTTGCCTACTGTCTCAGTTAGATGACTTGTATAATTTTTATTGGCTATACCAGTCATTATAGGTTTATTAGCTTCCTTTGATTCTTCATATTTTAAAATCCATGTTTCTAAAAATATACACTCATGATAAAACATTTCAAAGAATTCTCTGATCCCTGTTTCCAATTCCAGTGTGTGTGTGTGTGTGTGTGTGTGTGTGTGTGTTTTGAGTCAGGGGCTCTACTCTGTTGCCCAGGCTGGAGATGCAGTGACTTGATCAGGGCTCACCGCAGCCGCCACCTTCTGGCCTCCAGTGATCTTCCTGCCTCAGCTTCCTGAGTAGCTGGGACTACAGTCATGAGCCACATGCCACCGGGCCCAGCTAATTTTTAAAAATTTTTTGTAGAAACGAGGTCTTGCTATGTTGCCCAGGCTGGTCTCGAACTCTTGGGCTCAAGCAATCCTCCCACCTTGGCCTCCCAAAGTGCTGGGATTACAGGCATGAGTCACCTTGCTTGGTCCAGAGTTTACCAGTTTTTTATTGTTTGTTTGTTTTTTGAGTTGGAGTCTCACTCTGTTGCCCAGGCTGAGGCTGGACTTCTGTGGCAACACTCATGGCCACCCAAGCCTTTGACCCATTGGGCTCTGGCGATCTTTCTGCCTCAGCTTCCAGGTAGCCAGAACTATAGGTGCGCACTACCACGCCCGGCTAATTTTTTATTTATTGTATAGATGAGCTCTCGCCAAGTTGCCTGGGTTAGTCTCAAACCTGCTGGTTCAAGCAATCCACTCGCCTCAGCCTCCCAAAGTGCTGGTATTACAGACTGAGCCATCAAGCCCGACTGAGCTTACCAGTTTTAAGAGAATTTTCTATACGTAATTACCATTTTGCAGGGGGTGGGGGGAGGTTGGAGTCTCACTCCATCACCCAGGCTGGAGTGCAGTGGCACGCTCACGGCCACCCCAGCATTGACTTGCTTGGCTCAGGTGATCCTTCCGCCTCAGCCTTCCAAGTAGCCAGAACTACAGGCATGCACTACCACACCTGGCTAATTTTTAAAATTTTTATTGTAGAGTTCTTTTTTTTTTTTTTTTTTTTTTGAGTTGGAGTCTCACTCTGTCACCCAGACTGGAGTGCAGCGGCATGCTCCCGGTCACCGCAGCCTCGACCTGTTGGGCTCCGGCGATCCTTTTACCTCAGCTTTCCAAGTAGCTGGAACTACAGGCGCGCGCTACCACGCCTGGCTAATTTTTTTTATTTATTGTAGAGATGAGGTCTTGCCAAGTTGCCCAGGTGGGTCTCGAACCCGCGGGCTCAGGCAATCCACTCACCTCATCCTCCCAAAGCGCAGGATTATAGGCGGAGCCACCGAGCCCAGCGAGATGAGTTCTTGCCAAGTTGCCTAGGCTATTTTCGAACCCATGGGCTCAGACAAACCTCTCACCTCAGCTTCTCAAAGTGCTGGGATTACAGGCTTGAGCCACTGCACCTGGTCCATAATTACATTCTTAAAAGAAAAAACCTAAAGTTTTTTCATGCTGTTTCATGTAATTTTTTTTCACTTAATAGTACAGTTTGGGGGAACACACCTCATCAACAAGGGTACCTGCATAATGAACATTTGTAACTTAACCCTGAATTGTACCCCATATCTTTAAAATTTCAATAAATAAATAAATACTAATACAGTTTGTACATCAATACATATCAGTATGTAAAAAGTCCACCATATGTATTTTAAGACTGAATAGGGACTTACTGTGTAGTTCACTTTAATTAACTTACTTGCCTTTAATTAAATGTCACTAAAAACAGATGTTTACTGTTAGAAAATATCTCCAAATTTTTGAGTTATGGTGTGAGTATACTTATTCATGGTTTAAGACTGCTGTGGAATTGCTGGACCAGAGAGATGTGCATTTGCAATTTTATTTTGATTTATTTATTTATTTATTGAGTCAGAGTTAAATGGAAGGAAAAGCAACAGATTAACTTGGAGATGATCATATTTTCATGTTGCATCTCTAGAATTTATTTTTATTTTAATAGTGATAATCTATGAACAAACTTATACTTTTTTCCCCCCAGGGCATAAATAATCTTGCTGCTATGCTTCCAAGCTGTAGTCTGACTCAGCCTAAGATTTAAACCGAAGGTGAACCTCTGAGGTCAGTTAAAGTAGCACTTGGTATTTTTTCTTGGTGTTTATTTGTTAACTTTTAATTAAAGTTGTAAGTTAAGTTTCTTTTCAAGAGCTTCAGTGACTCTCTTAGCTTTTAAGGGCTTTAGGTATAGTTGGGAAACTGGAGAAGTCAAAAAAGGGTGAAAGAGAAACACTGAAGAGAGGTCAGAAAAAGAAGTATATTTAGCTTGGATACTAAGTCCAGCTGTTACCCTCAGTCGTGGTGCCATTTAGTGTCTATTTTGCCTGTTCTAATAATGCCATTGTAAAAGAGTACATTGGTGTAACTAGAAGATAAATACGTCTGTCTCACAAGTAAATCGAACTAACGAAAGAAATATGCCTTCACTAATTCAGTATTCTTCAGTTGAGAATTTGGGATCTGCCACTGGTAGAACTCGACCTATGTGACATTCTGACAGTGCTAAAGACTGGGGTTGGAAACTCTTAGAAGCCTGAATTGTAAATGGTCTCTACTTTGTCATCTTGCTTTCCTGCTTATTTGTGATTCTACATTACTAAGACTTGCTTTTATCTTGTTTTCAAGATAAAGGGTCAATGTAGGATTAATTTAGTAAATATTTATCTAGTGCCTGCTGTGAACTAAGTCTTGAGATATAAAAATAAAGAAACATGCCATTTATCACATGTGCCATTGGTTCTTGTATATTATAATATAGTTGTGTATTAGTGTTGGGTAAAGTACAAAGATATTAGACTTGTAAGAATTTAAAACCTTATATTAGGAAAGTTTCCAAACTAGCTACACAAAAGTAGGCTAGTATGATGACTTCTCCCTTACCATCTCCTAGCTTAAATGGTCATTAACATAAAATACTTCCACCTTCTTTTCCATGATATTTACAAGTTAAGAAACCTCGTCTTGGTGACTAACCTCTTTCTGACCTTTTGAATTTGTTCGTTTCTTCTGATATTGTCTCATTCCTTTATCCCCTATAATTCCTTTACACTGGAAGTAAACCCTAAAACCTCAGTTGGATTCAGTTAAACATTTTTGGTGAGAGTGTTTTTAGTGATTCTGGGGACATGGCAGACACCTAATAATGGGGGGGGGTGATATTTTGACAACCTTTGAATTTCTGATTTCTCATCCACTTTTCTTCTAAGGTTTTCTGAATCAATTTTTCATTAGCTTTGGCAATATGAGAGTTTTCTAATTCTATTCTACCTTCTTTATTTATTATCTATAATTATTTATGAAGAAGGATTTTTCTTCATCAGCCAGAGCTGTTTGGTTACCCCCTTAAAGAGGTCTTAGTTGGGGGGCATTAAATCACTTTTTTCTTGTAATCAAAAAATTAGATATCCAGAAATTTATATTATAAAGAATGAGATTTTTTTGTCTTTTTTGAGCTAACTTGTTTAGAGCTATACTTATCACCAAATTCTGACACCAAAATTTTAACATAAAATATTTTACTCTTGCTTGGCAGCTTAAAAATTCCAGTTGCCTCTGGCAACTTATTGACCAGAATTTTAGATCTCTTTAGAAATAAATGTATCATCACATAATAATTTCTGTTGTGTGAGGCTTTAGAATTAGGGAACTCTGACTCTAATTTTTAAACTATGTTTAATTTATTAAAGAGAAAATTCAAGTATATTTTAAAAGAAAGGATGTGGGATCAAGGAGGACAGCCTTGGCAACAATGGCCCTTAAACCAGCAACAATGGATGCAGTCATTCCAGCACCAACAGGATCCAAGTAAGATTTAGAAGGGAATGGATGGGGGTGAATCTATAGAGATGGGTAGGAGACAGATGGTGGGATCAAAGGAGATGGAATTAGTATTGGTGTATTGGATCATTTATGGTCAGAATGTAATCTGTTCTCAAATAGCTTTTCCATAGCATATATGGTAGGAAATTAATCTCCCTTTGAAAGATTTTCTCAAAGGGTAGAAGCTAGCTTTTTGAAGATTATGTATTTTTTAAACTGATTTAGTCCTTGTTTTTCCTAAAGAAAAATTCTAAAATATGTTGCTTAAGTAGTGCATGCTTTTATTGTTAATTCTGAATCTTACAGTTCTGTCTTGATCATACTTAACTGTATGGTGTGCTGTATCATTTTAAAGTTCCTTCTTTTTTTTTGGAGTCAGGGTCTCACTCTGTTGCCCAAACTGGAGTGGAGTGGCATGATCATGGTTCACTAGTTTCCAACTCCTGGGCTTGAATGATCTTCCTGTGTCAACCTCTCAAGTAGCTGGGACTACAGAACCACGCCACCTCATCTGGCTAATTTTTAAATATTTTGTAGAGATGAGGGCTCACTGTGTTGTCCAGGCTGGTCTCGAACTTCTGGCTTAAGTAGTCTTCTCACCTTGGCCTCCCAAAGTGCTGGGATTACAGGCGTGAGCCACACCTGGCCTTAAAGTTTCTTTTTCCTGTGGAATATTTCAAGCGCGTATGCAGAGATAGAAAGAAAAGTATAGGGAGTTCCCATTTATAACTTGGCTTTAACAGTTATTAACTGGTGGCCAATTTTGTTTCATCCATAAAACCCTTAATGTTGCTTTGCCCTTACTGGGTTAGTCTGTTGCTATTTCTTTTTTTTTTAATAGCCACATAGCATTCTGTTGTACAAAAGTGCTATAATTTAACAAACCCAATTTTATTTTATTTTTATTTTTATTTTTTTGAGTTGGAGTCTCACTCTGTCACCCAGACTGGATTGCAGTGGCACGCTCCCGGCCATCCTTCTACCTTAGCCTTCCAAGTAGCTGGAACTACGGGTGCGCTACCACGCCCAGCTAATTTTTTTGATTTATTGTAGAGATGAGGTCTCGCCAAGTTGCCCAGGTGGATCTCAATCCCGTGGTCTCAGGCAATCCACTCTCCTCAGCCTCCCAAAGCGCAGGATTACGGGCTGAGCCACTGAACCCGACACAAACCCACTTTTAGATGTTTAATTTATAAACAAATAAAAGCTATAAACGCTTTTTGAAACAATTAGCATAATTTGTATACATATAATTTACTTGTCCAGGTATTTAGATTTGTTAGATTATAGTTACACACTTAAAAAATTTTAGATACACATTGCTAAATTTAACCCCATATGGGTTATGCCAATAGTATGTTTCAACCAGTTTATGAGAATGCGTATTTAATTTTTGATAAGCTGTGAGCAATTGTTTTGTTTGCTTTATTAATAATGTTAGATCTTAATGCATTTTTGGTTGGTTTTGCAAAAAGTTTAAAAAAAAAAACTCTTGACTGGGTTTAGTGACTCAGCCTGCAATCCCAGCACTTTGGGAGACTGAGGCGAGTGGATTGCTTGAGCCTGTGGGTTTGCGACCAGCCTGGGCAACTTGGCGAGACCTCGTCTCTACAATCAATCAAACATTAGCTGGGGGTGGTAGCGTGCGATTGTAATTCCGGCTACTTGGAAGGCTTAGGTGGAAGGATCGCCAGAGCCCAGCCGATGAACGCTGGGGTGGCCATGAGCATGCCACTGCACTCCAGCCTGGGCGACAGAGTGAGACTCCAACTCAAAATGTATATCTATATAAAGACATTAAGTATAGATATTTGGGAAAGAAAAAGGGAGAAGAGTCTTCAAGGTAGCAGGGACAATGAGTTTTTAGTAAAGATTGACTAACAAGTTGTTAAGGAGATATGTTTTGCCCGCAGAAGGGAGCCTTACTTAAAGCACCTGTGAGAAGGAGCAGGGATAGATAGCTATACCCATCCAAGATCTGTAGGCTCTGATTCAGGCCTGGAAAGATGAATAGGATATGCTGAGGAAGAAATGACTGAGTGAATATTTTTATATTGTATTTTTTAAATAAAAAGGTGATGACTTTTTAAAAGCTTTGTAAACTAAGATGCAAGGGATAAATTCTTACAAGTTAGTAAGAAGTCTGTCAAATATACCCTGCTCCTGTGTCCACCTGCCTTTTTCTTCCCTTCTTTTTCCCAGATAGTGAAGATCTTTTATAAATTTGTGTGTGTTTTATACTTTAGTTTGGTTTTTTTGGGAGGTTTTTTGGGTTTTTTTGAGTCGAGGTCTTACTCTATCACCCAGGCTGGAATGTAGTGGCATGATCATGACTCACTGCAGCCTCGGCTTCTTGGGCTCAGGTGATTCTTCTGTCTCCGCCTACCAAGTAGCTAGGACTACCGGCGTGCACGAGCTAATTTATTTGATTATTTTATAGAGACGAGGTCTTGTGTAGCCTGCAAATCTCAGAGTCAAGTGATCCTCCCACCTCAGCCTCCTGAGTAGCTGGGACTACAGTGGTATGCCATCACTCCTGACTAGTTTTTGTTGTTGTTTTAGAGACAAGGGCTCACTATATTGCCCAGGCTGTTCTTGAACTCTTGGGCTCAAGCAGTTCTCCTGCCTCCCAAAGTGCTGGGATTACAAGTGTGAGCCACCATGCCCAGCCTTGCTTTTTTTAGAAATGGGTTAGGAGTGTTTTTGTGGTATTTTTGTCTGAAAGTTTTAATGTAGTTTATATTAATACTTTTTTTAGCCTGAATAAGGGTTATTTTCTAAGTGTCCTTTAGGCTATAACATGCTTGAATTAAAGACCTCTTCTGAAAAAATATGTATATATTTTTTGTGAGTTGGAGTCTCACTCTGTCACCCAGGCTGGAGTGCAGTGGCACACTCACAGCTACCCCAGCATTGACCTGCTAGACAAGCGATCCTTCCACCTCAGTCTTCCAGGCAGCTGGAACTACAGGCGCACACGCTGCCAAGCCCGGCTAATTTTTTTATTTTATTGTAGAGACGAGGTCTCGTCAAGGTGCTTGGGCTGGTATCAAACCCATAGGCTCAGGCAATCCACTCGCCTCAGCCTCCTAAACTGCTGGGATGACAGACTGAGCCACCGAGCCTGGCCAAAAAAATTTTTTTAATTTGCCTCATACCCTCTCTGTCAGAAATATTTATGATTTCTACTGGGGATCTACATTAGCTCCTGCATTCTGAATGCTAAGTTCTGTATTAATGTATGTTAGGCCAGATTGACTGGGCTGCATTGGCTCAAGCGTGGATTGCCCAAAGAGAAGCCTCAGGACAACAAAGCATGGTAGAACAACCACCAGGAATGATGCCAAATGGACAAGATATGTCTGCAATGGAATCTGGTCCAAACAATCATGGGAATTTTCAAGGGGATTCAAACTTCAACAGAATGTGGCAACCAGGTTTGTTTATGTTTTCCAAATTTGGGAACTTTCTAAAAATAAAATGAATATTAATGTTAACTTTATTAGTTTGCTTAGTTTTATGACTTCTTCATATTAATGCTTAATGAATAGGCAGTTCCAATTTGATTTGACCTTGACATTTTTTGGTTAAAATTACTCTGTACTCAGTCTGCTAGCATTGTGGCACTCAGTTTGATTCTTTTCTTGGTTCTTCATTCCTAGGCTGACAGGGGCTGGGAACACTCTGGAAGCCTCACTTGGAATCTAGGGAAGAGAGCATTCAAATGTCTCTCTGTTGCAACCTCTGGCCTTTTCAGAAGCAGCACTGGCAGAGTAAAACATGTCTAGCCTCTGATTAAAGAAAAATTGTGTCACCATGTGACAAATTAGTCTGTCAAATATACTCTGCTCCTACCATCCACCCACCTTTTTCTTCCCTTTTTTTTTCAGAAAGTGAAGATCTTCCATAAGATTTTGTGTGTTTTGTTTTATTTTTTTGTTTGTTTTCTTAACTTCACAGTATGATTTAGATTCTTTGATGCTAATTCAGTTTTCCATGGCTTGTGCTATTCTTTTTAATAGTCACCTCAAGCTATTTATGAAGGAATCAGTCTCATATTTGGGTATGCTGATAGTGAAGTCATATCCTCCTTTCCCTATTACTACTTACTGTTTCTCACTATAAGAATGGAAAACTCAGGAAGTAATCCCTTGATATCAAAAAGATAAATTTTCTCATCTCTGACACTGAGGTGGTTCATTTCTAGCTTTCTTGAAAGCCAAGTTCCCCTAAGTTTGAAAATGTTTTAGTTCCCAAGTTCAAGTTCATAAATGACTCACCCTGGCATCACCACGCCCCCTGGTTTTGCTCTACTGGCTTTCTTTGTTACCCTGGGCAAGTATTTTAACCTCTGTGTGCCTCAGTTTCCCCTCCTGAAATTGGCAAAAAATAATACATGACTTCTCCCTACCTCACAGGGATGTTGTGAGGATAAATGTGTTCATGGAAGAAAGAAACTATATAAACTCTCAAGGTATTATTTTTGTGGTGGTGTACTGAGCAAAAATAGAAAAACAACGAAAAATTGCTTTGGATTTTGTTAGATTTATTAAAAATAATTTGGGGCATTGGTTTCCATTTGTTTAGGGTATGAATCAGAGTGGAACTAGCTCATTTGAATTATACATAAGACAGTTTATTTCATTGCTTATTTTTAAGGTATATAAAAGGAATAAGTTTTATCTGTTTCTTTTACTGAAAAATTCTGCTTTCTTAAAATCTTAAAATTTTGTGTTGATTTTGTTATAACTCCCTGTTGAATGTTTTTATGCCTAAATCCTAAATAGAATGGGGAATGCATCAGCAACCCCCACACCCCCCTCCAGATCAGCCGTGGATGCCACCAACACCAGGCCCAATGGACATTGTTCCTCCTTCTGAAGACAGCAACAGTCAGGACAGTGGGGAATTTGCCCCTGACAACAGGCATATATTTAACCAGAACAATCACAACTTTGGTGGACCACCCGATAATTTTGCAGTGGGGCCAGTGAACCAGTTTGACTATCAGGTGAAAGATATTTTGTTGCTTTAATATTTTAGATGTGCACATAATCCATTCTTTGGAAGTGTCTCATCAAGAATACCTAAGAGATACGTGTTTCGCTTTTCAGACTTCTACGGATAACCACATACCAATTTTTGAGTATTAAAATCATTAGATTTTTGTTTTTTCATTTTTTAAAGTTTATTAGAAAATGGCATAAAGAATTGATAGGGGAAAATTTCTATAAAATTAAAAATGTGTAAGTGCAATAGCTACATGATGTTTTGTTTTCTAATTTATAACTTCAAAATGGAATATTTACTTGTTAAATAAAAATTAGAAAATGCATAATAGTTGAATACATTATTTGTCAATAATAGATTATGGTTAAGGCATGAATAAAACGCATGAACATAGATCATCTTTCTAAATGTAGTACCTTCTGCTGTGTAGAATATGACTGTTTTTCTAGTGTTGACTTTTTTTTTTCTGTTACAACATGACATGTTAATGGGATTGTCCATCACTTCCTTTGTAGCATCAAATTCATTCCTAGGGACGTAGAACTCTATGGAAAATAGTGTCATATGCAGGGCTTTATTTTCTTTATCCCTTCTGCCAGGGTCTACTCTTAAATTATAGTGCTAGGTGTCATTTTGAAATAACTGATTGCAATTATTAGCTTATAAACTGTGATCATAATAAAACATTCTGGAAAAAACAGTATTTCATTAACTCTAAGGTGGATTTAATAATGGACATACAATATTTACTGTGAGACAATAGTCCTCTCAATACATATGTAGATACTTGTATACTTACACTTGGTATACAGGTATGGCAGTTTTTGCTTTGTTTTTGAAGAAATGTAGTGGCAGGAAGTGTTTACTTACTCCACTTTTATTTGCTAAATCCCATACTAATAACAAAGAGCTCTATTGGCAACTGGCCTAGAAAAGTCTCTTGAAAATAGCAAAATTGCAAAAAATATTTAATGATTCAGTAACTTCTATTTTTCCCTATAACTAAATGTGTCTTTCAAGACTATAGATACAACTTATGCTCACTGTAAGTAGGAAGTAGAAATTGTCAAGAAAATTTCATGGATTTTCTAGTTAAAGAAAAATTAATATTTTTTGTCTTAGTAGTGGTAGGATTAGTTTATAAATGGATTCAGAATGAAAAAGTTTATATATATGTATATATATAAACACACACCCTATTCTGTATTTCTTGAAAATAGCTTATCACCTGGCTTTTAGAAAACTGTGCATTTACATAGGCAGAAAAATCTTTCTTAAGAAAAGTTAAGCCTAGGTACTAGGGGCTACAGAAGTATCGGTGGATATTAGAACCATGGAATTCTTGGATTTGCTGCACACATGGATTTCTACTGTCCCAGTTCATAAACACGCGTGTGTCCCAGAGAATATATTGTATTAATGTGAAGAAAAATAAACTGCAATACTCTTTCAGCATGGGGCTGCTTTTGGTCCACCGCAAGGTGGATTTCATCCTCCTTATTGGCAACCAGGACCTCCAGGACCCCCAGCACCTCCCCAGAACCGAAGAGAAAGACCATCATCATTCAGGGATCGGCAGCGTTCACCTATTGCACTTCCTGTGAAGCAGGAGCCTCCACAAATTGGTAGCTATTTTAGTGGACCATGGTTGGCCACTTTATTATATAAAAAGGATTCTTTTTTCAAAAATTGTTCTAATAACTCTGATATGTTAGGTATTGATACCTTAAAACCCTGTTTTTTATAGTCATAAACCTTAAAAATTGCAAAAAATATACTAGTCTAAAATATTAAAAAGTTTTTAATAAATTTTTACCTTAAAATCCAGATCATGTGATGAAGTGTGTATTTATGATAGCCATAGCATCCTGAGATTTTCTTCAATGTTGGCATTTGAGTACATTATGTAGACATATGAGCCCTTCTTTTTTTTTGAAAACTTCTAATTGTTTTCTGGTGTGGTCTTGTCTACTGTTAGTTCATCTGATGTACTGCTGCCAGATTAATTTTCCTTTGATTATTTCACTTTCCCTAAGTATTTTGGCAGAAAATTTCAATTTTTAAATAACATAGAGCAAACATTTTCAGTGACAAACATATTTATGCCACTTTATACCTAGAAAGTCCCAAATTACCTAGTATTTAATGTATCTGAACATTTGACTCTTTCTTTTTTACAGTCTAGGAAAGTTCTAACTTTACTGCTTTTTTAACTTAATGCTTGTTTAAGTGAATTCTTAGTGTGAAAATAGGACTTGTGCTTTTGTTTGATTTTATATTCATATTTTAGGAAGCAGCTTAGTGTGAGAATTTGGCTCTGAATTACCATCACACTACAATGTCACTATTTGCCTTGGCACATGACTTAATTTTCTTGAGCCTCTGTTCTCTTACCTGTCAAAGTGATCTCTGAAGGAGATAATAGTGATCTCTGAAGGCTTTTGTAAGGATTAAATAAGATGACTTAATGTGCTTTCTTTGTGTCCTAGCAGATTGTAAGCATTAGGACAATGTTCCTGGTGTTATTAAAAGTGATGATTTTTAAGAAAAGCATGATGTTTAATGGACTTTTTAAATTTATTCAAAAAATTTGTAGAAATTCAGAAATAAGAACCTCATGCGTGTTTGATTGTTAAGTAACTGACTTGTACTTTTTTCCCCCACTTGAAACAGATGCGGTAAAACGCAGGACTCTTCCAGCTTGGATTCGTGAAGGTCTTGAAAAAATGGAACGTGAAAAGCAGAAGAAGTTGGAGAAAGAAAGAATGGAACAACAGCGTTCACAATTGTCCAAAAAAGAAAAAAAGGCCACAGAAGATGCTGAAGGAGGAGATGGCCCTCGTTTACCTCAGAGAAGTAAATTTGTAAGTAGAATCCTTGACATGAAACTCTTTGTGATAATCTTGACTGTGCGAAAACTTCATTGAAGTAGATATTTTAGGATATAGAAGAGTATCAGTAATGTTTCTAAGATCACATTCATTCATTATATTGCAGATTCTGTTTTATGTATGTATGTTATGGAAGGTAGGGTAAGGAGAAAGGTGGCAACAAGTTTGCAGACCTCTCATTCCAGAGCGAGATTATGCTATGGGATGCTAGGTAAATCTTATCTTGATAAATCTGTATTCATTTGTTTTGGTACAGCTGACTCTCTAGTGGTAGATTATAAATCAAATCTATATTAAAATAGAAATAGAGAAATAAATTTGCCTTTTTGTAAATATTTCTATATCTGAGGATATAATGATTTTTATTCTTTTTGACATAAGCACCGAAAGTATAGCAACATTTTATTTATTTATGTATTTGCTTGTTTGTTTATTGGAGATAGGGTCTCCCTCTGTTGCCTAGGAACAGTGGCGCGACCATGGCTCACTGCAGTCTTAAACTGCTGGGCTCAAGTGATCCTGCCATGTTGGCCTCCAGAAGTGCTGGGATTACAGGCATGAGCTACTGAGCCTAGCCAGCAGCATTCTAAATCTTTAAACCTTCATCAATTAGGTGGCGTAAGTGGTTTAGGAAATTTTTTTTTCAGCAGTAATGTGCTTCTGACAGGTATGTCAGCCACTAAACCAGCTGGTCTGCAACTCAGAAAAGGCCATTGTCTGCTTTAGAAACAAGTCTCAAGGACAGCAAAATAACTAGATTTTGGCAGTCATTGGTTTTACTTAAATTCCATAAATAACTTTTACTTTTTTTAAAAGACACATGCCAAAGCTGTGTTTTTATTGTGGATTTTATGAAAACAAGAAACCACAGAAAAACAAAAACAACAGGAAAACACTATTAAAGTTTGTCTTTTTAAAAAGTATATATATATATGAAATAGTGAATTTCCAAATTTGATTTTTTTTTTAATTGGAGATTATTCTTTTTTCTTCCCAGATGCCTTTGGGCTTGTGTTACATATATTTTTCCCCTGGTCCAAATAGTCTTTCCATGATAGTATTTAGGAGGTCCTCTTATTTTTTACTTAGTAGGATTGTTAAAAATGACTATGGAACACTTTGACAAAGGAAGGGTTGTATGCCATCTGGTTACTGAAACCTAAAATCATACAGAGACAAACTGCTGACATTTCCTCAATCTGAAGTAGACTGCATTTTTATCTATTCAGTATATAGCCCAGAAGAGGCACATCTGTAGCTTCCTTCTTTTTAGCTAAGTTGCAGGTTCAACTGAGATCTTGGAACTGATTAGAGATTTTTCATTTTAAGTTACGATATTAGGTAAATTGCTTAAATGTATAGCTGTAAAAGTTCTATTGAACAATATATCTGTGGTCCATTTATCCAAAGTTCTACAAGCTACTCATTTCAGTATTATCATATATCATGAGTATTAATTAAATTAGTCTCTGAACATGATGTTTTTCTGGTTATTTATAAAATAAGTCAAAATTGACTAGGGAAGATGAAAATTGGAAAATTAAAATGATTGATTTTTATAAGCCATTTTATAATCTTAAATTTCTTCTCAGGCAATACTTATTTCTGTCTCATAGACTTTTTAATTTGGGGTTTAAGATTTTTTTGATATGTAAGGCAAGAATTTTACATTACAAACACGAATTTAAGTCATATTATTACTTTTTATAGGATAGTGATGAGGAAGATGAGGACACTGAAAATGTTGAGGCTGCAAGTAGTGGAAAAGTCACCAGAAGTCCATCTCCAGTTCCTCAAGAAGAGCAGAGTGAACCTGAGATGACTGAAGAAGAGAAAGAGTATCAAATGGTAGAATGTTACATTTCTTATCATGTATAGGAATTTATTTTGTTTGCAATTAAAAAAAAAAACTATTGGTTGGCTGTCTTAAACATTTTAGCCAAGTACTCTGAAACAATTATAAAATGTTTATTCATTTATAGGTTTACTGGGCAAATAATGTCTGCAAAATCCAGGTAATGGTTAAAATACAAAATCATGGCAAGGCTTGGTGGCTCACACCTGTAATCCCAGCACTTTGGGAGGTGAGAGGATTGCCTGAGTCTAGGGGTTGGAGGCCAGCTTGCATAATTTGGCGAGACCTCATCTCTACAATAAATCAAAAAATTAGCTGGCTGTAGTGGCACGCACCAGTGGTTTCAGCTACTTGAAAGCTGAGGCGAAAGAATCACCTGAGCTCAGCAAGTCAAGGCTGCCGTGGCCATGAGCATGCCACTGCACTCCAGCCTGGATGATGGTGAGACTCCAACTCAAAAAAAAGATTATTCCACCTCAGCCTCACAAAGTTCAGGAATTACAGGCATGAGCCACCACGCTCGACCCCTACTCTCATTTTTATAGATGAGTAATCTGGAGCTCAGAGAGGCCAAGAGACTAATAGTTGTTGATAACCAAGCCAGTACTAGAATCTAACTCTTAATTTCAAGTGTATGTGCTCTCCATTTTATATCATGTTAATTGTTACTTAAGGGTTCTGTTATAGTTTATTAGTGTATTACAGGGGTCAAAAACAAAAGGATTCAGAATAAAAGGACTTCATCTGGTAGAATGGAATAATGTTATTTTCCTTTTTTTCTCTCAGATTTTTAACCCAACCTTGAAAAGTGATTTAAGAAATTAGTATCAGCCAGGTGCAGTGGCTCACACCTGTTATCCCAGCACTTTGAGAGGCAGAAGCGAGAGGATTGCCTGAACTCAGGAGTTCGAGACCAGACTGAGTAGCGTGATGAGACCCTCTCTCTACAATAAATTTTTAAAAATCAGCTGGATGTGGTAGCACATACCTGGTGGTTCCATCTACTTAGAAGGCTGAGGAGGAAGGCTTACTTGAGCCCAGCAGGCCAACGCTGCGGTAACTGAGCATGTCACTGCACTCCAGTCCGGACAACAGAGTGAAACTCCGACTCAAAAAAAAAAGGAAATTAGTATTGTTTGCTTTAAGTTTGATCAAGAAAAAAGTGGAAAATTTAAATAGTATCAATTTTTAAAAAGAGAAGTGAAAAAACTACTTACCTATATTAAATAAGAGATACTTCTTTTAAAACACCCATAGAAATTTTTATTAAAATGGACTTTTAAAAATGTTTTGGATTCAGTGTCTCTACTATAACAGATAAGTTCATACTTTTTTTTTTGAGACAGGGATTTGCTATGTCACCCAGGATGGAGTACAGTGACACAATCACTATTTACTGCAACCTCAGCTTCCTGGGTTCAGGCAATTCTCTTGCCTTATTCTCCTGAGTAGCTAGGGCTACAGTTGAGCACCACCATGCCTGGCTAATTTTTTTTTTTTTTTTTTTTTGATGGGGGGGTGAGGTGAGGACTATGTTGTCTAGGCTGGTCTTGAACTTAATGACCTTATAATCCTCTTGCCTTGGCCTCATAATATTTTTTCCTTTGAACTACATGATTTTGAAATTTTCAAAAGTTTTGATGCTTTAGAATAATGTTCAAGGTTCTGTTCCTTGAATGGTTGATGTGATCTCTAAAAATGTTTTTGGTTCTTGGGAGTTTTTTTTGAGTAGGAGTCTCACTCTGTTGCCCCAGCTGGAGTGCAGTGGCACACTCACAGCTACTGCAGCCTCAACCTGCTGGGTTCAGGCGATCCTTCCAAGTAGCTGGAACTACAGGCGCGCTCCACTGTGCCCGGCTATTTTTTTGACTGATTGTAGAGACGAAGTTTCACCAAGTTGCCGAGGCTGATCTAAAACCCTTGAGCTCAGGCTGTCCTCTCACTTCTGTCTCTCAAAGTGCTGGGATTATGGACATGAGCCACCACATCCAGCTAAAAATGTTTTATAAGATGACTTTGCGTTTTAATGTTTTTGAAAATATCAAACTGTTGTAGTGATAATAATTAAATTAGTATATAAAATATTCTCTTTTAGATGTTGCTGACAAAAATGCTTCTGACTGAAATTCTACTGGATGTCACCGATGAAGAAATTTATTATGTAGCCAAAGATGCACACCGAAAAGCAACGAAAGGTATATTGTGGGTGTTCTTGGCTTTGTTTATCTGGGGGTATTTTGGTTTTGGTGACTGTTTTGGACTTTTTTTTTTGATGTTGTCCTTGGTGGATTACTATCAGATATTTGGATATTCTCTTGCATGTTTTAACTCTGGGAAAGAGTAGATATATAGATATCATATTATAACTATACAGGTATTTTGTTTTATCTGACCTACCTGAGCACAAATTAGCAATCATGCTGTTAACCTCTAAAATGTATTGTGGAAAATTTCTTATGTTCAGTTTATTTTGCTAGATTTTTTTAATACATACTGTGATTTATTTAGGTTTATGACTTCTAATATAATTTATTTTGACTAATGAATTTTGAATCATGAACGTACAGAGTTTAGTTTACCAGTTATAATTCTTACAGAAGCAAATGATTCCCCGCCCCCATTTTTTTTAGTATCCCTTAAAAATGTATTGAAAACAATAATTAAATTATGTGCCATACCTCAGAAATAGAAATCAAGAGATGCTGGTCAACATTTTTCCTCATTATAAACCAATTTCAGGTCACATCAGAATTATTATTTCAAAGCCAGACATGCTACTGGTTTAAAATGAATGTTATGTTTTTAATGTTTCTTCTCTCCCCAAAAAGCAGCAGTAGTAGTAGATTTAACAATACCATAGACTCTCATGACTATGAAATCGTGGCTATTTGTGTTAACATGTTGTTCCTGTTGTTGATGTGATACAAAGCTCCTGCAAAACAGCTGGCACAGTCCAGTGCACTGGCTTCCCTCACTGGACTCGGTAAGTGTTCTCCTTATTTGTGAGAGGGCCTAAAGGGAAAATCACACTTACCTTGTCTCTCTACATGTTCTGTTTTGAAACTGTGCTGTTTCTACTCAGTTTATACATCAAGATAGGTCTTAGAATTATGTCAGTCTTTAAAAAGGCTTGCCTTTTTTTTTTTGACTAACGCATTCACAGTGGAAATTTTATCAATGTGACGTGTAATGGCTAATCAGTAGTTTATTGGGGCAAGTTGTAATGGAGGATTTCCTGATTAATTGCTCCAATATATGCATTTTATATATGTAAAGTTTCATACACACACACATACACACACACACGCAGAGTTTGTGCTGAATAGCTCATAATTTAGCTATGATAGTATCTAAGCTCACTTTCAGGATTACTGCATACATGCCTTAGGGAAGAACCTATCCACTAATGCTTTTAATAACTTTTATATAGATTGTGTGGTAGCAAGTCAGATTTAATGTAGAGGAAAGAGTTTGTCTTATAGTCTAATAGTAGTGATGTGCTCATAATTTGCTATTTGCATGATGTATTATCAAGGCTGTAAAAGCTTGAATTTGCCTTTTCCACATCTCTGTTACAAATTTATTTTTGTGTGGATCCAAAGAAATGGGTAAAAACAAATGCCCGCGTGGTTTTGTTGTGGTTATTTAGATCACTTCAGGGTGGGGAGTAGTTTTAGTACCATACCATTTCCATACCAGTGACAATTACAGTATTCTAATTTTTTTAGAGAAAAGTTGCTTAGCATACTACGTGGGATTTTTAAATTTTAAACTATGAAAGAGTTAAGTTAATTTTATTTATTTATTTATCTTGAGTTGGAATCTCACTCTGTCACTCAGGCTGGAGTGCAGTGGCATGCTCACGGCCACTGCAGCCTCGACCTGCTGGGCTCAGGTGATCCTTCTGCCTCAGCCTTTCAAGGAGCTGGAACTACAGGCATGTGCCACCACGCCCTGATAATTTTTTGATTTATTGTAGAGATGAGGTCTCGCCAAGTTGCCCAGACTGGTCTTGAACCTGTGGCCTCAGGCAATCCTCTCACCTTGGCCTTCCAAAGTGCTGGGATTATAGATGTGAGCCACCGTGCCTGGCTGAAAGAGTTAATTTTAGAAATGTTTTCAGAAGCATCGTAAATTTTATTAAGGTGTTTGAGTTGATTAAACTTAAATGATAGTATGGACAGTAAAACAAACCCATTATCATGATTCTTTTATGGTGATAATATATTAAATGTTCCAGAAAGAATAAGACACTAAGTAAACCATTGCCTGAAGATTCTGTGAACTCTGTAAGCATTTGAATTTATACTTCTCCCCACCCCGAATAAGCATATTCTTTCAGGAAAAGGCAATGAAAAAAGAAATTAGCTTTCTTCTCTGACCTTAACAAGTTTTTAGTGCATAATATATGTTTTTCATATGATAGACTGAGCTTTATGCACACAGGTGGACTGGGTGGTTATGGATCAGGAGACAGCGAAGATGAGAGGAGTGACAGAGGCTCTGAGTCATCTGACACTGATGATGAAGAATTAAGGCACCGAATCCGGCAAAAACAGGAAGCTTTTTGGAGGAAAGAAAAAGAACAGCAGCTATTACATGATAAACAGATGGAAGGTATATACCTTTTAAACTTTTTCAGTTTTGTCCAGTTTTGTGTATATATCTTTTTATTTTTAATCATCCTAAAAATATCAAAGGACAGAATCAATACTAGAATATAAATAATATGTGACATAACTAAAACTAAGGTCACAGTCTTTGTTTTAGGATCCATTCACTCCAGTGGCTATAAGCCAAGCTGTTTAGGGCATTTTTATTTTTTCTTAAAATTCTTGAATGAAAAAACTTGAGTTAGATGAAATATATTTGTAAGACTAAATAATTTGTAACTAGACTGTTTAAGGATAATAGAAAAGAATATTTTTTATTTAGAATCAATTACATAAGTACAGTTCTTAAGAGCTTACATAAAATACTAGGAATAATGAAAAAACATATTTAGAATTTCTTTGAAAAATCTTATTTGGACAATTTGAATGGAAATTATTGAGAGTTAACTGCTAAAAGTGTCCTATAAATCGCTAATATTTACCTTTAAAAATTTAATTTAATAGAACAAAAGGGAAATCATTTTTATTTGCTTCATATGTACCTTACATTTTGATACTCTGTTGCCATACTGTCCAGGAGAATAACTAACTGTATGGAACTATTGAGCACTTGAAGTAGGTACATGTGCTGTAGGTAGGAAAGACACACTAGATTTCAAAGACTTTACATTGAAGAAAAAATACCTGCATAATGAACATTTGTATACCTAACCCTGAATTGTACCCCATTTTTAAAATAGAAAAATTAAAAGTAAAGCCCAAAAAACCAAAGCACTATAATGACTCACTATTCTTTTACATTTAATATGTGTTGAAATAATATTTTTTGTATGTTGGGTTAATAAAATATTAAAATTAATTTTACCTGTTTCTTTTTTAATGTGGTTACTAGAAAGTTTTGAATTACTTATGTAGCATGCACTCTATTTCTATTGAACAGTGCTGCTCTACTGTTATAGTCTGGCAGCTTGAAATTTGATAATATAGGAGTACATTCAGATTTTCTAAGTGATTCTGTCTTTTTCTGTTTCAGAAGAAAAGCAACAAACAGAAAGGGTTACAAAAGAGATGAATGAGTTTATCCATAAAGAGCAAAATAGTTTATCACTACTAGAAGCAAGAGAAGCAGATGGTGATGTGGTTAATGAAAAGAAGAGAACTCCAAATGAAACTACATCAATTTTAGAACCAAAAAAAGAGCATAAAGAAAAGGAGAAACAAGGAAGGAGTAGATCAGGAAGTTCTAGTAGTGGTAGTTCCAGTAGCAATAGCAGAACTAGTAGTACTAGTAGTACCGTCTCTAGCTCTTCATACAGTTCTAGCTCAGGTAGTAGTCGCACTTCTTCTCGGTCTTCTTCTCCTAAAAGGAAAAAGAGACATAGTAGGAGCAGATCTCCAACAATTAAAGCCAGACGTAGCAGGAGTAGAAGCTACTCTCGCAGAATTAAAATAGAGAGCAACAGGGCTAGGATAAAGATTAGAGATAGAAGGAGATCTACTAGAAACAGCATTGAAAGAGAAAGACGACGCAATCGGAGTCCTTCCCGAGAGAGACGTAGAAGTAGAAGTCGCTCAAGGGATAGACGAGCCAATCGTTCCAGTCGCAGTAGGAGTCGAGATAGGCGTAAAGTTGATGATCAACGTGGAAATCTTAGTGGGAGCAGTCATAAGCATAAAGGTGAGGCTAAAGACCAAGAGAGGAAAAAGGAGAGGAGTCGGAGCATAGATAGGAAAAAGAAAGACAAAGAAAGGGAGCGTGAACAGGATAAAAGAAAAGAAAAACAAAAAAGGGAAGAAAAAGATTTGAAGTTCAGTAGTCAGGATGATAGGTTAAAAAGAAAACGAGAAAGTGAAAGAACATTCTCTCGGAGTGGTTCTTTGTCTGTCAAAATCATAAGACACGATTCTAGACAAGATAGTAAGAAAAGTACTACCAAAGATAGTAAAAAACATTCAGGCTCTGATTCTAGTGGAAGGAGCAGTTCTGAATCTCCAGGAAGTAGCAAAGAAAAGAAGGCTAAGAAGCCTAAACATAGTCGATCGCGATCCATGGAGAAATCTCAAAGGTCTGGTAAGAAGGCAAGCCGCAAACACAAGTCTAAGTCCCGATCAAGGTAGTATACTTTTTAAAGTATTTTGTCTGATTTTTTTTAAAAATTTGAATTTATTCAAAGTTGAAAGTGTCCTTTCTCTCTCTCTCTTTTATAAACTCAGTTTGGTGCTTGATAAATGATCATAGTCTTAAATAATGTTAGAAATCCTATATAATAATATTTATTAAAAATTGCAGCATTTTAGTGTAAAATACATTTTTATTTTTAAATTTTGTCTTTTCCCTTCTTTTTCAGATCAACAACCCCTCCCCGTCGTAAGCGCTGAGGAATGATGTGGCAAGAATGCCATGATGTTGTTTAAAAAATTCCATGAGTTTTAAGGGCTTGTCTCATTATAGAGGCACATTGTGGCTGTGTAGGTGAAACCAGAATCTTTTTTTTTAATCTGTAAATAGGTGTACCTTTTCCAATGCTGCTCCAAGTTACTTAATAGGATTTCTTTGTATTACATTTTTTTCAAAAAAAGATAGTGCATAATAAGACTATAAATATGCCATTCTCTTTCAGCTGTAACGTTCTTAAAATTATTCTTGAATGTACTGTGATGTCAATAAAGCTCTTTAGTTCATTTTTGTTAAACTCTTGCACCTTAATTTTATGATTTTAATATAAGGAACGTACTTTTATAACAAAGGCAGCTGGAATTTTGTATAACAGGTTTTAAAGGTACTTTCTCTCACCTCCCCCCAAAGAAGATGGTTTTAAACTTAATAGTTTGTCAAACTTTGTAAATTGTATCCATGGACTTTTGTCAAATTCTAACTTCAAGGGTATGGAAGAGGGCTAGAAATAGGCCTTTGCTTTTCATTTGGAAACATCTGACAACTTTCTAAATTTTTCCTTCTATTTTGGAGATTTTTAATTAACATATTCTCTATGTGTATAAAGTATGGTTCACTCCTGTAAAATGAAATTGCTGGAATCAATCAAGCCGTTGCACCAGTAGAGTTAATTTGTAAGGAACGATTGTGTTTGACACTAATAGTCAAGTCTGGAACTTTATTCTACAGTCATCACCCACTTCTGTTTTAGAAGCATATTTAAACACTTTGGGGTTATAGAAACAAGACTCATGATTCAGTATGTTTGTTTATATTTTTAAAGTATAATATGACCTCAACTCAGTGGAGGAGTGCTGTATTATGCAGGTTTGTGTCAATTTCATAACATTAAAATAGTCTGATTTTTGTCAGTTTTTTAAAATTATGATCAGTGAGTGTTCTAGCAGTTTAAGGCATTCATGGCGTAGGAGTAGAAAGGGGCTTTCAAAGCATTTTAACTTAAGTGCTCAGTTGCTTTCAGGGTTCATTTTGTATGATTATTCACTTATGCAGTGATAGCTGAATCTCAGAAAACAAATGCTTTTCAATTTTAATTTTAAAAGAAAAAGAAGCCAGATGCAGGACGCAGAAAAGTTTTAAAGTATGCCTTCTTACCAGCAATCATTCATTTTAAAAATAATGCCAGATTTTTGCCAAGATCAGTGTTTCCTCAAAATGAAATTAGGAATAGATTTGTATAGTGTGCTCTTGTACCTCTACATAAGATTCTTTTATAATTTTGAGCAGTTATGCATTTATCTAAAGGAAATAAATCAACTGTGAATAAATGCATGTTTACCAAAATGGCTGTTTACAGTGCATTTAGTTCTGATATTTATAAAGATGACATTTCACAGAATAACTTTAAAATAGTTAGAAATTCTGTATAGTTTAGACGTCAGCCACATCTGAAGACAAAATAAAGGAAAATGTGCAATATTTTTTATGTAGGTGAGCTAATACAGTATACCTAATTGCAGAATTATCTGATTAATTTGTAATAGATAAGTTGTATAACATTTTCATATCTTAAAATGTTTTTTAGATCAATCTTGAAGTGAAATATTATTTTCAAAATAAAATTCTACAGAAAAAATTCTGTTGGCTATGATATTCACATTTTGGGGACAGATATGAGCTAGAGCCAAAAGTGATATTTACTCTGCCATAATTGCAAGCTGCTTGTCAGATCTGTAATTTTTAAAAAAATTATCATGACATTTGTGATTATCAGTAGATACACCAGTGTTATAATTTGTAATTTGGGTTTTTCAGATTTTTAATGGCAAATTTAGAGAGTTTATTACTTCCTTGACATGCAATGTAGTATTTACCTTGAGTGGTAAGATTTTATAAAATAGGGTTTCCATGATTTAGGATGTGAATGCTAAAACTTACATATAAGTTAATTAGATGTATAATTTGGTTATTAAACTTTTCTAAAATGGCACCCCAGAAAATTAATAGATTCCGTTTTTGAGACAATCACTGGTCTGGATTGGTTAATCAATGTCTTCTTTAAAAGGTTCTCTTTTAAAATATTTCTAGTGTGTTAATCATAATTGTTTTTTGTGGAGTGGGGTTAAACCACACCATTAAGGAAATAAAATGTAATTTGGAAAAGGTAATTATGAGATTTGTTTCAGGCCCCAAAATAAAAATAAAGATTGGTGTGGAATCTCATTACTGTATATGTTTTCTGCCACTGTAAAATGACTTTTAAGCATCTGTTTCTAGTGGAATAATACCAAATAGGTAAATTTCCCAAAGATAGTCTATTTTTAGTATCTGAGTTATTTTGCTTCTTGAAAAAAATGTATGAAGTATAATGGTAGATAAAAAAAAATTTTGTTGTGCTGGGAGTGGTGCACACCTATAAACTTAGCACTTTGGGAGGCTGAGGTGAGAGGATTACTTGAGTCTGGGAGTTCAAGACCAACCTGTGCAACATAGTGAGACTCTGTCTCTACAAAAGATTAAAAAATTAGGTGGGTGTGGTAGTGCACACCCATAGCCCCAGATGCTTGGGAGGCTGGGGAAAAGGATCAGCAGAGCCCAGGAGGTCGATGCTGTGGGAAGCTGTGATTGTGTCTCTTCACTCCAGCACAAGGTGAGACCCTGACTCAAAAAATAAATTTTTGGGGGCTGTGTTTAGGAATTCTTACACAGGCGTTGTATTAGGCCCACAGTCCCTATAATATTGCCTGTGGAAGTCTGCATTTAAACTGAGTTTTTCTTCTCTTACATAAAACTAAAATGTATTTTAATTTATTAAAGTTTCCAAAATGTGCTCAGTTCTGTGCCACATACATGACAGTAGTCCCATAAGATTATAACATGACATTTTGACTGTACTATAATATGGTATTTTTACTTTTGTATGTTTAATTATACAAATACTTTCCATTATATTACACTTGCCTACAGTGTTCAATATGGTAACATGCTGTACAGGTGTGTAGCCTAGGATTGATATGCCATACCATATAGCCTAGTTGTGTAGTAGGCTGTACCATCAAAGTCTGTGGACGTACACACTGATATTCACACCACAGTGAAATTGCCTAACGATGCATTTCCCAGAACATGTCCCTGTTAAGCAGCACGTGACTGCATAGTTCAATGGAAGTAGAGTTATTGGGCTGGCATCTCTCTGCTACTTGATTTGTTTTAGGCAAATCATGAAATCACTATGGGCCTCAGCTTATTTAATTCTATAAGAGAGGAATTAGATGACTTGTAAACATGCCTAGCCCTTAAATTCTTCAGTTTTGAGTAATTTTGGCCGTAATGTCTAAAATCTAAAAGAGAAAGTGGGCTTTTTATTGGCTCCTAAATTAGCACACAAGTTATATCTGTAACATAAAGGTTTATCAGGATATCTTCCATAGAATTTTACTGTAAACACACATTGGTTCAATCTGCCACATTATGATAGTGTAAGTTATAGAGGATTCTAAGTTACTAGTTTATGTAAAATTTTCAAGTAAACAAAAACCAGTTAAATTGAAGTAGTAGGATATTTCAAAGGGATAAAATTTAGCTATAAGGGAACACTTTACCCTTAACTTGGATGGAAAAAAATGTATAAAATTGAATCCCAAAACTTTAAATAGATGTTAGTATAGCAAAATAAATATACAGACTCTAGTTTACAGCACCTTTATGGGTGGAACCATAATAGAACGATCTCCAACAATGGCCATATACACCTTTACAGCCAATACAACTTTCCTATACAGCTCAGGTTTAAGGGTCATTGGAAAAGCCTTTTGTCGATGTTTGTAATAAAAGGTACTATGAGCCAGTTTTGCATATATGAGCCAAATTAGTTCTGGGTATTCAAAAGACTTCGTGTAAATCATGGATTCCTTTTCTTAATGAATGAAAATGTGGGAAAGCTCTGAAGACCAATGAGGTGTGATACATTAAATGAAAAGTACATTTAAATAATAAAAGTCTTAGAACATTATTTAATCATACATGCACTTTGCTTTTTCCTTAGACTTGCCACTCCCAACAAATAAATGTAACATGCTAAATTTTCTTTTGTGCAAAACTTCCTGCCTTCATTTTGAGAGATGGCCGTGTATCTAAGGAGAGGATTCTAAAGAGGACATAACTGAAAAGTCTGCAACCACTGTTAGGAGGTCAATATTTTAGCTAAGGAGCCATAAATGAAAGAATATTTCTGAATAGTAAATTTCACTCTTTCAAAGAGCCCTTTACCAATTTGACCATGGCTGTTGAAAACAATGATTTTTTGCCTTCAATGTTGGAGGTTTATCATTGTTTTTAAAGAAAGGCTTTTAGAACATTTGGGAGTAAAATGGTACTGATCACTTCCTAGCTCTAAATAAAGTCTGCCTAGGCTGATAAGTCTCCTACTACATAAAGTACACGCCCTGTCCAGGATATCGGTCACTTGTAGAAAATTAAATTTGGATTCTGGCCCTCTGTGGTATTTGAGTGTCTTTAAAGTGGAAACAGTTCTGCTTTTACGAAAGAAGTGCTGCCCGACCTCTGTGATTCGAGGGTTCAGATCAGCATCTTACAAGAATATAAATGTCCTTGAAGAGACATTTGTTAAAAGTGACAGCTACACGGGCTTACAATATCACATAACACAAAGCAATGGCATGGTGGATGTCTGTTTTGAACATGAGGTTTGAGGTGGTCATAAAGGATCTTCAGGGTCATTTTTGGTAATAGAAACAGGTTCAGTGCACGCAGTTTTTGGATGTTCAATGTGAAAGTAACTAACCACACATTTAATGCAATCACGAAAGTCGGCTGCAGGCGGCGAGAGTGGGTCTCGGAACCTTCCTGTTGAGGATCTATTTCGGGAGGGACCGAAAAAGAGGTGGGATCCTTTGTCGCGATGTGGGGCGGCCGCAAGCTGAGTTCCTCCGGCAGTCGTTTTTTCGGTGTGTTCGGGTCCGGGCGTCGGGGTACACAAACCGAGCGCCCTCCCCCAACCTCATCGGCCGGTGAGTGTACGTGCGGAGGTCCCCGCGCGCCGACCACTGGGCGCGGGCGGTTCTGCGCATGCGCGGAGGGAGGCGGTGGTAGTCACAGAGCTGCGTGGCGCGAGGAGTCACCGCCGAATCTGCAGCTTGGCTCCGGGCTCCTGCTCTCCGTTGAACACCCGGGGTGATCCCTTTTGCAGGCATCGGGCAAAAGAGCTGAGGCCTAGTGGTCTTGGCTGAGAAGAACGCAGGGGCGGGTAGCCTCCAGGTATTCCTTGACCTTCTTGTTTTGGTGGAGCTCCCCCAGGAGCGGGGCAGGAAAAACACAAGTCTCTGCTAGTTGTGCATAGCTTTTTGTCTGTCTTTTATTTGCACATATCTTGCTTTTCTTCAGAAAGAATTTAAGGCAGCGATACCACTTTTGGATTAATCGGTTAATTCAACAGACTGTTGCAATTAAGTTCAAGAAAATGATGCACTGTAGACTACAGTTTGATTTTGGAACCCTCAGTGTTAACCAGAAAGTTTATCTCTTAGGTGAAACTCATTTAACAAATACTGTGTGCCAGGCACTGTATGGTCACTAGGAATTTAAAAATGAGTGATACCTCAAGGGTCTTTTTTTTTAAATGTTGGAATAGAACTAAGATTATAAGTGAGCAAAAATTGGGAAATCTAATAGCCTACCCATGAGGTTTATTAGTTGGTACTCTTGTACAGTGAAAAATAGTACAGCCAATAAAAAGGATTTAAATCTAGTTATATCCACATGGAAAAAATGAGTAGGATATTGTGTTAAGAAAGTAAGTTGCAAATCAGTATGTATTGTGAACTTGGAGATATAGGTTAGACACATATTGAGAATTAGAAATAGGCCAAAATTTTAGCAGTGATTGCCTGTGGTAGAATAGGTAATTTTCTATCATTTTATCACACTATTATACTTTTCTTTTTTTGAACTTTTTTTCCAGTAAATGTGTCTTTTATCAACAGAATTTTACTGATAAACTTATTTCTAGATTATGAGGGATGAACATGGAAGGAGCATGTGGTCTGTATTTGGGATCAAGGATACCTCTTGAGTGAGGTATTTTTAGAAGTCTTGAAGGAGTTTGCCAGTTTTAGAAGCAGTTGGAGAGACCAAAGGATCAGCATGAAAATGTATAAGAAGGTTTATGGAGAAACTAAAGTATTCCTTGAAAAGTAAAGTGTGTGGATGGAGGGCAGGAAGTAATGGTAGGAGTGGCAAAAGATGAGACTAAATTCGGCCATGACAAGTTCACGAAAGGTAATGTATACCGCCCAAGGTTGCTTTTATCCCTGAAGACAGTGGAAACTACCGAAGGAGCAACATGATCAGGCTTGTGTTTAAGAAATTACACTTGAGCTGGGCTCGGTGGCTCAGCCTGTAATCCCAGCACTTTGGAAGGCCAAGGCGAGTGGATTGCCTGAACCCAGGGGTTGGAGACCAACCTGGGCAACTTGGCAAGACCTCGTCTTTACAATAAATCAAAAATTAGCCGGGCCTGGCAGCGCAATCCTATAGTTCCAGCTACTTGGAAGGCTGAGATGGAAGGATTGCCAGAGCCCAGCAGGTCTATGCTGGGATGGCTGTGAATGTGTCACTGCACTCCAACCTGGGCGACAGACTCCAACTCAGGAAAAAAAAAATATATATATATATATATTTATATATGTAACCATTAAACTAAGAAAGGATGCTTAACCTGACTCATAAATTAAAACTTCACTAAGAAGTTGGGTGCAGTGGCTCATACCTGTAATCCCAGTACCTTTGGAAGTTGAGGCAGGAGGATTGCTCGAGCCTAAGAGTTTGACACCAGTGTAGGCAACATAGTGAGACCTTGTCTCAACAAAAAATAAAAAATTAGCCAGGTGTGGTGGCATGCACCTGTAGGTCTCAGCCTACTCAGGAAGGTAAGGCAGAAGGATTGAGTGAGCCCAGGAGGTCAAGGCTGCAGTGAGCTGTGATTGTGCCACTGCACTCCAGCCTGGGCAACAGAGTGAGTCCCCAACTCAAACAAACAAACAAAAAAATGCATATCAACACTAAGATGCCATTTTATGCTTGATTAGCAAGCACTAAAATGTCGAGCACACTGGGTGACAGTGTAGGAAAACCAGCACTAGATACTCTCATATATTACCCACGGGGTTGTAAATTGTTCAACACCTATGGGTTTGGCAATTACAAATTTACAAATGCACATACCCTTTGACATAATTCTTGGGATTTTACCTTTAGGTTCTCTCAAACACAAACAGAATTACCTATGTAATTCAATTTCATAGTTTTGCTAATAACCTAAATACCCATTAATAGGGAACTACTTAAGTAAATGATATAGCCATAGAATGGGTTACCATGCAACCTGCAAAAAAAGGGGAAACTGTGCTGTATTATAAAATAATCTCCAAGATACATTGATAGGTTAAAGAAAATGCAAGCTGGGCTCGATGGCTCAGCCTGTAATCCCATGCCTTTGGGAGGCTGAGGTGAGTGGATTGCCTGAGCCCGCGGGTTCGAGACCCGCCTGGGCAACTTGGCGAGACCTCATCTCTACAATAAATCAAAATTAGCCGGGCGTGGTAACGCGCACCTGTAGTTCCAGCTACTTGGAAGGCTGAAGTGGAAGGATCGCCGGAGCCCAGCCGGTCGAGGTTGCGGTGGCCGGGAGCAGCCACTGCACTCCAGTCTGGGCGACAGAGCGAGACTCCAACTCAAAAAAAAAAAAAAAAAAAGCAGAAGAATGTGTATATTGTACTACGTTTTATATAAAATTAGAGAAGTTGATACTTTGAAATAATTGCATATATAAAATGTCTCTGGAATTTTATATACAAATTTAGTAATGATGGTTGCCTATAGGTAAATAAACTGGATAGCTACAGTCAGGAGTGGGAGAGATACTTTGTAGTGATCCTTGACTTTTAAAATTTTTTATTTTGAAATAATTTAAAATTCACAAGAAGTTGCAAAAATAGCACAGATAATGTTCCATATACCCTTCACCCAGTTCCTCAGTGATAACATTTTATATAACCACAGTACATTGCCAGTGATAGGAAATTGACAGTATATTAACTACAGAACTTATTTAAATTTCACCACCTTTACATACATTTATTGTGTGTGTGAGTGAGGGTGTGTGTGTGTGTGTATGTGTGTGTGTGCGCGCATACAGGCATGTGTACGAGAGGGGACCCCAAAAAACTGGAATTTATTTATTAAAAATCGTGTATTCTTAAATGTTTAAACTTCAGTCACCTTTAAAGCACTCTGACGCAATACACCTATCAAGATGCTTTTTCTACCTCTCAAGACAGTTTTTGAACTTTTCCATTTTCCATTTTGATGCCTTCTGCTGTTTTTTTTTTTTTTTTTTTTTCACCTCTTGCATATTGGCAAAATGTCTCCCTTTGAGAACTTTTTTCATTCAGGGAAACAAACAAACAAAAGTCACTCAGTGTGAGACTGGGAGAATAGGGAGGATGGGACACAGGAATTACATCATTTTTGGTCAAAAACCGCTGAACACTCAGTGGTTGTGGGCAGGTGCACTCATAAGTCACCCATCATGAAATGGGTAAACACTTGACAGAATCTCAAAAAAAAATCACTGTAGCTGAACACAGCCTCTCACAACAACACTACCTGGTACAGTGATGCCAATGGGTTCCTAGAACACTTAACTAGTGGGGGAATACATACAACCAAGGGGCATGCCCCCTCAAAATTCCAGGTTTTTTGGGGTCCCCCCTCTTATATGTGCTTGATCATGTATATAGATTGGTGTAACCACCACTGTCAGGATACAAAACCACAAACTTTCTGGTGCTACGTCTTTTTAGGCAAACCCTACCCCAACCTTAACCTTTGGCAATCACTGATCTATTCTTCATAACTATGATTTGTCATTCATATGAATGGAATTGTGTGGCATATACCTTTTGAGCTGAAGGTATATACTTTTGAAATCCATCCAAGATGTTACCTGTATCCTATGCTTTTTATTTTTTTGTATTTTATTATATCGACACAGTAGTTTGTTTTGCTGTTCACATATTGTAGTATATTTTTGTTGTTTTCAGTTTGGGCCTCTTATAAATAAAACTGCTATGAACATTCATATGCAGGTTGTGGATGGACGTAAGTTTTCCCTTCTCTGGAAAGGTTAGGGCTAGAGTTAGGGTTAGGGTTCTCTGGAATAAATGCCCAGGAAGTGCAATTGCTGAGTTGTATGGTTGTGCACATTTAATTTCATTAGGAACTGCTAAACTGCTTTCCGAAGTGGCTATACTATTTTATATTCCCATTAGCAATATATAAGAGATCTAGATGCTTCATATCCTGGTCTGCACTTAGTAATATGTGGATTTAAAAATTTTAGTCGTTTTGATAGGTATGTGGTGATATCGCACTGTGGCTTTCATTTGCATTAACTTAGTGGCTGTTAATATTGAACATCTCTTTATGTGTTTATTTGTATCTGAATATCCTCTTTGATGAAGTATCCATATCTTTTTATATCTGTTTTATTTTATTTTATTTTATTTTATTTTTTTGAGTTGGAGTCTCGCTCCGTCGCCCAGACTGGAGTGCAGTGGCTGCTCCCAGGCACCGCAGCCTCAACCTGCTGGGCTCCAGCGATCCTTCAGCCCCAGCCTTCCAAGTAGCTGGAACTACAGGCACACGCTACCACACCTGGCTAATTTTTGATTTATTGTAGAGATGAGGTCTTGCCAAGTTGATTGGGTGGGTCTCGAACCCGCGGGCTCAGGCAATCCACTCACCTCGGCCTCCCAAAGCGCTGGGATTATAGGCTGAGCCACTGAGCCTGGCCATACCTATTTTATAATACAAACTTTTTATAATTATATGGCTTAGTTTTTGTTGGGGGAAGATGTTTTTGTTTTTTACTGTTGAGTTTAAAGAGTTCCTTATATATATTCTGGATACAAGTCCTTTGTCAGACATGTGTTTTGCAAGTATTTCATTT